GTCCTACTGACAGGTTTAGTTTTTGTTTTGTTTTTAATCTGTACTACCATTTAAAAATCAGGACATTGTCTTCATGGCCTTGGGTGTGGCAAGGAATTCTTAGATATGACACCAAACGCATGAGGAAAATAGAAAAAAATTAAAAACATTTGTGCTTCAAAGGACACCATTAAAAAATAGAAAAAACAACCCACAAAAGTGGAGAAAATATTTGCACATCACATATCTGATAAAGGACATGTATCCAGAATATATAAAGAACACTTACAGCTCAATAATTTTTTTTTAATTAACATTTTAATACATTTTAAAAATGAAAATCAGGCGAATTTGTTTTAAAATCCAGATTCCCTTGACATGCTTCAAAAACTGACCACTCTGGGCTCACATTTCACGGCAATGACAGACTAGAGTGAGTGACAGCTGCCTCCTCTAGGTGAGTGCCCTAATCGGCCCAGTCCCCAGTACTCTCCAGTTTCTCTGACCCAGCCTGTTCTCCTCACTGAATCCTGTCAGAGGCACTGAGGGTTTCTAAGGAGGCCATCCAATCACTCTATGGCATAATCCCTTTAAGACTGAACTCTTTCTGGCGCTCAGTTTAAGTTATTTGTGTTTGGTGGGTTGGGGGTTTTTTTTGCTATTATGATCATTATTATTATTATTATTATTATTATTATTATTATTATTATTTTCTTCACTGATTTTATCATCATATTCCCAGAAAAGTCCTAAAAAGCCAAGAATGTAGCATGTACTTTGCATCTCTCACAACACCCAGCACAAGACAAAGAACAAAGTAGATACTCCACGTTTATTGAATGAATGCATAAAGGAATATATTCTCTATGATCTTCTTCAATATCTTCTTTTCTCACCCAAAATTATGATTATAGGTATGTAATAAAGAATAAAACACTAAAGTCAATCACTGCATTTCTATTTCAATTTTCTATCAGGTTAAAATGGAAATGGGAACTCTGGATAAACGTTGAACAGACCATTATGCCTCACAGCGAGATGGATTAGATCCCAGCATACTGAGAATGCCTGCAAATAAGATTATCAAACACTATTGGTGATCTTTGAGGAAATTGTGGAAAAATAGGATAGGTGCCAAAAAGCTATAGATAGGCAAATATTGTTCTAATTTCAAAAGAGGAAAGAAGTTATAGCTTGCCACTTCCAGACTAGAGAATGTGATGTCTCTCTCAGGCAAGGTTCTTGAATGGATTTGTAAAGGGATGCTTGTCAGTACCTCAGGCAGGAAGCAATGTCCATTTGGAGCCAGCACAAGAGTCACCAAGAACAAATCATATTAAATTCATTCCACTTTCTTCTCTCTGACAAGGCTCCTAGCCAAGTGGATTGAAGAAATACAGCAGATACAATATATATGGTACAATGAGGGGGTGGGCAGTGAAAAGGGATAATTCAACAGTGAAAAGGGCTAATTCAACCCTTGGGCTATATTAATAGAAGCATTACATACAGCCTAAGAGAGGTGATAGTTGTTTTCTTTCTCTGACCACATATAGGGAATCTCATTCAGAACTTAGTACCACTCTTGAAGAAGGCTTTTGATAGTATCATCTTGGAGGTTCATTTGGCAAACCATCTTTGAAAGCATAAAGCTCTCATCCAGATTTCTGGCATTTGTTAAAAAAACAAACAAACAAAAAACTGAAAGATCTGGCTGGGCCTACATTCCTAAATGGTAACAACTGGTTGGATCCAAGCACTGGTTGCCCATTTGGACAGAACGTATGCTGTCAGGCCCATCATAATCACCGCCACCACTTCTTATATTGGCCTCGATGAGATAGTGAACCAACTGCCACAAATCATCTTACTTAGCCAGCTTCACTCATTTATTCCATCCACCAAGCACCCAAAAGCATTGGAGTTTGTAACCCAGGATGCAATAGATCCAAAGGAGAGTGAAGATAAGCATCCGTGAACCATCGTAAATCAGGAAATGAGAATAATCATAGTCCAGGTGCTATGTTCAGACATCCAAGAAGCATCTTTCTTGTTCTACGAAGTCCCAAGGGGAAGATACTATAGAACCAATAGGTGGATGAGAGAGAGACATATTTAGCCCAACATAAAAACTGCTTACAACAGCCAGAGCTATCCAAAGATAGAATATGTGGGCTTGGGAGGTGGTGAGCTCCCCATCACTGGAAATGAGCAAGCATATGGTATATTGCTGCATTGCAGGTATTTAATCAAAGGGACTCAAGTATCTGAGAAGGCATGAGTCTGAAATACTTTACAATAAGAAAAAAACATTCCCTTTTGTTAGGTCAATAAATTCCTCAAAAAGAGATAAAAGAGAGTAAGTCTACAAAGAACTCAGTATTATTTTTAAAAACCAGAAGTTCCCCTCACGGAATTCATAGAGGGCAAAATCTGTCTAACTAGGTGGAGTATTTGCACCAAATTGGCCAAATGCTACCCGTGGAGAAAGGTAATTGGCATCAGGCATTATTTTTGGTGATTGGTCAAACATTCTTCAGAGGCAAGCAAGAAAGGCGAGGGATCAAAGTAAAAGGGCAAACAATGGAACTCCATCAAGAGGCAGCCAGCCCCACCACAAAACTGCCATCTGCTACTGACATCAATCCTTCAAAGGGCAGCTGTAGGCAAACAATGTGTCAGGGAACACGGGCCTGGCAGAAAACCCGCTGCCTTCGCATTTCTAGCCCTGTGACCTTGGGCAAGTCATTTAACGTTACGAGACCTCAGTTTCCTCATCTCTAAAATTGAGCTCCTGCGAACCCTTTCTGTACCTTGTGTAGGCCAAGAGGAGTGATATCTGAGAATGGGCCATAGAAACAGCAGAGCCCTGTACACACACTAATTACAACGAGGATGAACATAGAATTTTGAAAGAAAAGATTCCAGGTGGTTTCAGCCACAGCACCATCCCAACCTAAATCGTGTGGGTCTAAAGGAATAAAATTAAACTCTTGTAAACAGAATGCAGAGATGTGTAGAGTCTGGAAAAGACAAGATCACTTGGGCAAATTTCCTGCTGAAATGCATTACCTTTTGGGCAAATTTCCTGCTGAAATGCATTAACTTGCACTTGCTAACGAGTTGTTAAAAATAAAGGTGAAAGAATCAGAGCAATAAATGCTTAATTGATCTTCAAGCAAAGTTCACGGGTCCAGTGATACCAATCCTTCAAAAATAAAATCAGCATATTTCCTATCAAAATGACGCTTATAAAAACCCCAACTTGTCCAAAACTCAGCATCCCTTTCTCTTTATGGCATTTTTAACGGGAACCTCAGTTAAAAAAAAAAAAAAGAAATCAACCAAATTAGTCTTATAAAACATAACCTCCCTATAAAGTATCTATGCAAAGACTGAAACTGGGCTTTTGTATTGAGCAGTTGGGTGAATTCAAACCTCTGACCAATAAAGGGCTTGTTTCTAAATTTTCAGCAAGGCTGAAAACATCCTAAGTCACGGTTTTCTACACTGAACCGAAAAGGATTCAGAGACCAGGGATGAGGAGGGTTTTCTGCCTGTTTTGCCCTGGGGTCTACCCAGAGGTGATTAGCATGCTGGATTTGACCAGAACTAAAAGGCACAAGATGGTTAGTGAGACTGGAAAAAAACCAAAGCCCTCCCCGATGGCTGCTCCCCTCCCAAAGTTTCCCAAGCATCTGAAGCGTGTACAGCAGCTGTGGATGCCTGGCCTCCCACCGCTCTTGGGGAGGCCACCGGCCTTCCTGGGTCACCGAGTCTTGAGCTGCAGCAGCACCTAGAAGCAGGTGTGGCACTCGCTGGAGCCCCAAATAACTAACTTGCCCAGTAGCCCACCCATCACCTCAAGGAAAGGCTCAACACCCACTGAAGATGTATTCTGTCTTTGCTCTTTCTGTGAGAGACCACAACACACCCTGTGTCACAGCAAGGACAACTGTGACCAGAAAGAAAACAGACGCTGAGAGGCCCAGGCCCCGGCTTCCCTTAGGGTCCATTCTCGGAGAAAGAGTGTGCATGGCAAATGGTGCTTTTAGGCTTTCCTTGCCAAACCTGAGCCTAGAACTCAGGGTGGGAGAAGCCTGGCCCGAACGAGGGTTCCGCCTACATTTGTCTATGCGATTGTGTCCAGTTGCCTATTTCGCCTTGCTGGTAGGGGTTTAGGGAGCAGCTTCTGAGAGGAGTGTGCGCCCAGTGGCACCAAAGCTGGAACAAGCAGCCAGAGGTCATCTCACGCTCCTGGCTGTCTTCCCCTGGCACCACAAAAGCCAGGCAACACCAACCAGCCCAAACAGCACACGGAGCCGTTGGCTTCGAATGAAGGTGCATGACCCTAAACACCAGTGCACGGATGGCGATTGGGGCTGCACACTGAGAGAGAACACGTTTTCTGCACCAAGCTCCCTCTTTATGCCTAAACGCCTGCATTAGTTTGGATCAATATGGCCCATAACAGTTAATCCATGGCAACCCAGACCAGCCGAGAGACACTGACAAAGCAGTGCAGCCTCCCTGTGTGGCTTCCCTATGCACATGCATGTGAATTCCAGCCCCGAGAAAGTGGCAGAGGCAAAGCAATAACAAAAAGGAGAAAGAAAAATAAAATCGCAGACCATAAAAAAATGGACACCATATTAAAGGATGTTGAGCATTGGGGGGGTGGGGGAAGCGTGGGGCACGATGACTGTCAAAATGCCCTTACAGTGACATGTCACGGCCAAGATGATGGAGTATCCAAGACACTCCTAAAGCCGGGGTAGGATCCTCCTCGCACACCTGCAATGCAGTGATCACTGCCCCTCTATAATCCATACTCCCAGCACCGGCACTCTCTGCAGTTGAAACCAGTCTGGACTTGTACGGCTGCCACTGTTCCTCCTCACAATAAGATTATTGATGCATAACAACATTTCATGATGGCAAGGGAGGAAAAGGGGGGGGGGAGCCAAAGCAAGGAAACGAGGAAAGGGGAGGGGAGGCATGACTCCCCAACCCCATCTCACCTTTTATTTGGGCTTCATATTCGGCAATGATCTCTTTGTCTTTCTTGAACTTAGTTTGAGATGACATCTTCCAACGTGGCCACAGGCACTGACAGGCTCTTTGATTTATTTCTTCTTTTTCTTCCCGAGTTCTCTCTCAAGCCCTGGTAATCACACGGCTCTGGTCGATTTCACAGGTTTAGGAGCTAATCTCTCTCACTCGTATGCAGAGCCAAGGGAAAAAAATCCTTCTTGTTCTGGAAGGAAAATTCTCTTTACTCGCCCAAAAAATGTCTCCAGTAGCTTGGTCTGGTCAGCTCCTTTTGCAAAAGAAGAACCACCACCCTAGGAGCACTGTAACCTGCCCCAGATTTTCAAGATTTTTCTTCCAAAAAAAAAAAATAACCAAGAGCACACACACACACACACACACACACACACACACACACACACACACTCACACGTGCACTCGCACACTCATCTGGACATGCACACACACCGTTGTGATGCATGCACACACACACACACACACACACACTCACTCACTCACACTGGCTCACCCACTCACACACATCCATGAGAGGCGCAGCGCCTCCTTGGTCGTACAGTCAGCCCCCAGCTGGCTTTACAAAGCTCTGCTAAGGAGATGGTCAGGTTGCCAAAGGGCTGGTCATCTCGCATCCTCCCTCCCTTCAGCGCCTCTGGTCTGATGTACAGTGAGGATCAAAGCCAGGGGAGTGAGATGGAAGTTCTCCTGCTGTAAGGCTTAAGCTCCGGTGAGCTGGGGCTGGACTGCTCGCCCTGCAGGGCTGGCTGAGCGCTCCCCCCACCGCCTTCGCCCTCGTCACTAAGCTCCACCTTCTGGATTTTATAACAACTGACACATTGTAGCCTACAGGAGAGCAGAACTCACTGCAAGCAAAAAGGGGAAGAGACGCTCACAAAAGGGAAGGCAGCAGAAAAAAGAATCGGGTTGGGAAGGCCTGAAAGGCCCCTACAAACTCCTACCACTAGCAGTCGGGTTAAGGGATTTTTCTTCCAAAACCACCAAAAGGTCCACCTTTTCCATTGCACCATGCAATTTAATCCAATTTCTCCAAGCAACAGCTATGTGACAGTTTGTCACTCTGCAGGAATTGTCTAGCAGAGGAGAGGGGCTGACCTATGTAGGCAAGCTCATTAATATTTGTTGAGCAATTGCGGGCGGCAGGAACAATGCCAGGCGTTTCAGACATGCCAGCTTTGCAAAGCCCTTGAGAGTAGGCATGCTGGAAACACCCAGCTGCCTCAGTGTCTTGCAGGGCTTTGGGCAAATCAATAGCTCATTGAGCCTCAGTTTTCTCACCAGTCAAATGGGTTCTCTTCGAGGGCTTTTTCATTCATTCTTTCAATAAATCTTTATTGAAAGCTTACTATGGGTCGGGGATCGTTCTGCGTACGGGGATACAGCAATGGTCAAAATAGGAAAACAAAAAAAATCCCTGCCCTTCTGGAGAGCCAGAGTCTCCACAACACACAACTCTAGGAAATCACCATGTTAATAATCTCAGTCAAAGCAGCCTAGGTAGAGCTCATAAAGCATTGCGAATGGTGCCTCCTGGAGTAGTGTGAGGCAAGAGGCCCTGGGAGGGAGATGAAAAATAAACAGAAATGAGTAAATTATATGATATGGTAGCAGATACGTGCTGTAAGAAAGAAAATATTGCAGGGTAAGGGACTTCAGGTATGAGGAAGCGCTTGGGAAGATCAAATAAGAATATAAAGCCAAACAGCACAGTGCCTAGCACATAGGAAGTACTCGATAAATGGTAGCAATTATTATTACCCCCTGACATCCTCCCAACAACCTACCAATGTAATGTAAGTATCCATCTTTCATAGATGAAAGAACAGAGGCACAGATATGGAAAGTGACTTACCCAAGGTCACCAGCCGTCAAACCTAGGCTGTGTGACACCAGATTCCAACCATGCAAACGCTCAACGTCTCCTGCATTCTCTTAGGGAGTTTAAACCCATTTCACAAACCCTTAAGGTAGAATAAGATTTGTCCTTTAAAAATGAAATCAAGCACTGTGGGGTCACTGACCACATATTAAGATGGTCATTAACATGTATTATCTGCTATGTATGGTATTTTCACAAATTTCTCCAAATAATCTTCCATGTGCCTTTTCTGGATGTATGATAGATTACTTGATCTGGATTCCAAAATGAGTAGATTGCCGCTGCCAATCCGTTGAGGATTCCTAGAGAAGGTGGTGGCTGTAATGGCGAGGGGGCTGGGGACAGCAGGGCATCCCTGTGTAGTGAGCTGAGCTCTACAGATGGGAATGCATAGGACCTGCTTGGAGAAAGCATAGGGAACAGCCCAGCTGGGGAATCACAGGGCTTATTACAGCTTTGTGCCTGGAGACAGCAGGTCACAAAGGTCATAAGTAGATGCCACTGGCCAACAGTCATTGCCATCAACCCCCTGCCTCACGCTTTCCATTGGCATACTCAGGCCCTCACCCTCCTCAGTTCCCCTTTGGACCAGTGTAAAACAGAGACGGCCACACATGCTACCTGAGAAAGAGATATGCTCAGAGATTAGCATCCCTGCCTCAAGCACAGACTCTCAAAGGAAAATGGGAGTGAGCACTCTGTGCACCTTGGCAGGTAGGTGAAGGCTGGACTCCCTTCCTGGCCCTGCTAGTGACTGGCTCTGAGAACTGCAGCAAGTGACTTCGCCTGCTTGTTGCCCATTTGCAGCTGGAACAAGGAAATGTCAGCTATTCTCATCACTAAAATTTCCAATCTATAAATATTTCAGGGAGACCCATGTGTAGGGCACTGAGCCACAGAAATGTCACAAAAATCCTCATGAAACTGAAGCAAAGTATGGTATAGATAGAGCTATGTGCTGAACGGCAGAAGAAGCTGGATTTTGGCATAAGACAGATGGTGGTTCAAATTCTGGCTCGGCCGCTTTTCTGCTTGTGGGGGGTCTTAGGTAGCTGTTGTGCCTTCTCTGAGCCTCAGGTTCCTCATCTGTAAAATGATGGTGCTCTCGCTCATTGCACAGGACCTAATGTGATCAGGGATTTAAAGTACCTGGTATTTAGCAGAGGTCCTACAGATGTTATTTTTGTTTTCGGGTCCAACTATGCGGGACCTATGATAAGAATAGGGGCTCCATAGATACCCAGGTTAGGAGCAGGAAGAGAGAGAAGAAGGAAAAGGGGAAAAGAAAAAAATAGATTGTGCCCCCTGCACATATATCACCGCACACAGTGAATCCACATCATCCAGAATTTTCTGTCCCCTAGACGAGATGTGGCCTGGGCAGGCCGCTAGGACAAGGTCCTCCCCTTTTCCTGCCAATCCTCCCCACAGCTCACCCCAGTCTCACAGCTGCCCTTCTGTGACTCTCGCTTCCACGTGGCCACTTCCTTGTTATATGAAAACCAACTGCTATTCCTGATGCTCACCCTCCACGTGGTAGCAACAGAAACCAGATTTCTCCCTAAATAAATGTGGTATGCAGCAGGGGAAGGGGCTCTCCCATGTGATTGGATCTGTGCCACCCACCAGAACGGGAATACCCCTGGAAGGGTACATTCCATTTCCCTCGGGGTCATTTCCCGAATTCTTTTAGATATTCCTGCATTGTACTAATAGCGAGTATCTACTGAGCCCTCCAACCATACAGGCACTGGGCCAAGTACGCTATATAGATTTTATCACTGAATTCTGTTATAACTCAATATGGCAAGTATTATAAGCATCCTTGTTTTACAGATGGGAAAAAAGAGGCACAGAGCAGTAAAGCAATTTGCCCAAGGTCACACAGCTAGCTACTAAGTGAATCACATTCAAGCCCAGGTCTGAACAACATCAGAGCCCAGGGACTTAAAACCAATACACGATTCTATCCCAGAGCAATCGTCATAGCGATAATTGCTGTCAAGTATTGAGATTTTTTTTCAATCAACCGTGTTCATCTAAAGTTTGCCATTTAAAAAAAAAATTGGGGGTTGAAAATATAAGAAAAATATGTCACAAATGGCCATTGATGAAGCTTAAATTACAAGTACAGCTGAATAACACAAAACTCACTGAACTGGTTTCTTTTCTTGGTAGAAAAGAAAAGGGGGAAAAAAAAAAGACTCTACTTGAAGGACGAGTGACCAGAATAGTTTTTGGTTTAAGGCAATTTTTTTTCTGGTCAATATGAAACCCTCCTAAGATGACTAATAAGAGTTGACATCTTTTGTGACATTCTCCACATTGCTACCAACTGAAGCATCGTTGGCTGGCTTAGTGAGTAATCCTGCCCTTCCATCTCTGCTCTGCAAAATGGAAGCAACAACAAAACTCAGCTAGTTAGTGCCAGAATTTGATACAATTAATAGTGATGATGACAACAGGCCTTGTGTGTGTGTGTGTGTGTGTGTGTGTGTGTGTATGTATATATATATATATATATATATATTTTATAAAGCCCTTTCACATCATTTCTCTTATTTGGTACTCACAATAACCCTGGGGGACAGATGGGGTTGTTTTTAATCCCTATTTGACCAATAAGAAAATGAGTGGATAAATGGGAACTTTAATTAGAGAATTAGTTTTTATAACCTCAAGTTATAAAAATAAGGATGGCCTCCCTAACTGTGTCACAAAACCCACCTGACAGAGTCAACTACATAACCATTTTTTTCAAAACTCTGCCTGGCAAAAGCCACCGGAAGCCACGCCAAAGACAAATGGCAAACTGAAATACAATATTTGCAACACCTATCATAGGCCAAGGACTAATTTCCCTGATATACAAAAATGTACTGATTTCCCTGATATACAATTCAAATACTTGTACACCAATGTTCATAGCAGAACAGTGCATGATAGCCCAAAACTGGAAATAACCTAAATGTCCATCAACAGATGAATGGATGGACAAAATGTAGTCTATCCATACAATGGAGCATTATTCAGCGGTAAAAAGGGATGAGGACTGATGATCCTACAACATGGATGAACCGTGAAAACATTAAGCTAAGTGAAAGGAGACAGACACAAAAGGTCACATATTGTTTGAGTCCATTTATTTGAAATATTCAGCATAGATAAACCCACAGAGACAGAAAGCAGATTAGTGGTTGCCAAGGGCTGGGGGAGGTGAGGATATGGGGAGTAACTGCGTAATGGATATGGGGTTTTTTTGGTAAGGATGAACATGTTTTGGAACTAGATAGAGGTGATGGTTGTACAACATTGTGAATGCACTAAATGCCACTGAATTGTTAATGAATTGTTAACTGTGAATGGTTAATTTTATGTTATGTGACTTTCACCTCAATAAAAAATATTTTAAAAAATGTTCCTTCAAATCTATGAGAAAAACACCAACAATCGAGTAGAAAAATTAGTAAAGGATATGATAACACTTCACAGAAAGGGA